ACCGTTTTCATTCCGCGGGTCCTTTTAAAGACACAGCCACGGTGAAGATCAGCGTGCTGGACGTGGACGAGCCGCCGGTGTTCAGCAAGCCGCTCTACACCATGGAGGTTTACGAAGACACTCCAGTCGGCACGATCATTGGCGCTGTCACTGCCCAAGACCTCGACGTGGGCAGCAGTGCCGTTAGGTGAGAAAAATAAACATTTTCTTTTCTATGTGTCAGGAGCAAAACAAAAACAAACTAAAAAAAAACAATTCTAACAAAACCTGCATGATGACTTAATTATAGCATATGATGCTTTATAATGTAATGACTTTACCTAAGAACAAAGGAAATGCCACAGGAATTGAACAAAAGCATCCACTACCAATCCTTCCACCAGTGTTTACTAGTGGCCTGATGTTGGACACATCACGCAAGCTAACAAATCACAATGTTTTATCTATACAAGGGACTTAATATATAACCTCAAAGGAATAGTTCTCATGATTAATGATATTAAGATACTTTCACAGTGTGTAGAGTATAACAGACGTTAATAAATTTTACAATTACTCCAAAATTTCTTTCCCCTTACCCAAAATTAGTGTTTGAAAAAGTTGATTTCACCATTTGCAATATATTTCACCATTTGCAATATACAGGTCATTTTTTTCACTGTGACAATTGTGTCTGCTGGGTTTGAGGTGGAGCGAGTGGAAGCACAGTTCCAGTCAGTCCGAGGGTGAAATGAATTATCGCTCAAAGCCCACATTTTGCCAGGAGCTGCCTCCTGCTCATCTCTCTTTCTCAATGCAAAAATTCCACTAGTGCCATCAAGGCATAATAGAATTTCTGTTTTCCTCACTTATACATCAATCCTGCAATATTGTTTTGAGGCTTGTTCCCATTAATTCTGTTGTATGCTTAAATTTACGCCACATGTCTATGACTGTTGGGAAACAAAAAAACAGACAAAGATAAGATTTTTTCTGAATACTCCATCCCTAAAATGTTGAATGGTTAGTATGCAAGAACTAAAGAAAATGTTAAGTAGGTTTTTAAAGCAAAAACACTCTATCGATATAGAGAGAAATAGACTAATATCTTCTAAAATTTTTATGTCATGTGGTAAATAGTGATAAAATAGATCAAATATTCAGTGGTAACCTTAATGGAAGTGATCACATACAGTTAAATCTCAGGAATTGGCTTGAGAACATGTATAACTTGCTGTTTGTTTTAATATTTATCTGAATCCTTCACCCAAAGTTACATGAACACTGTGTTTTTTAGTTCTGGCTGCTATACCAGAGTACCACATACTGAATGATTTCAACAAAAAATGTTTATTTCTCACAGTTCTGGAGGCTAGAATGTCCAAGATCAAGGTGCCACCAGATTTAGAGTGTGGTGAGGACCTTCTCTCTGTTTAGCAGATGGTCATCTTGTCCTTGTATCCACACACTGGAGAAAGAGAGTTCTCTAGCATCTCTTTCATAAGGGCACTAATCCCATTATGAGGGCTCCACCCTGATGAGCTAATTATCTCCTGAAGGCTCTACCTCTCAAATACCATTATATTGGGGGTTAAGATTTCAAGGTATGAATTTTGGGAGAACACAGAAATTCAGTCCATAGCATTCCACTTCTAGTTCCTCAAAATTTATGTCCTTCTTGCATGCAAACCACATCTATCCTAAGAGACCCCAAAGTCTTGTCTTAATCCAATATCAACTCTGAAGTCTAAAGTCCAAAGTCTCACCTAAATATCATATAAACTAAATGAAGGTAAGACTCAAGGTACTATTCATCCTGAGGCAAAATTCTTCTCCAGCTGTGAACTTATGAAACTGAACAAGTTATATGCTTCCAAAATACAACGATGGGACATTCCCATTCCAAAAGGGAGCAAGAGGAAAAAAGAAAGTGATGATAGGTCTTACATAAGTTCAAAAGCTTATGGGGCAAACTTCATTAAACCTTCAGTCTCAGGAATAATCTTTCTATAGCTCAATTGATTCTCTGCCTGTCAGGCCCACCGGAAGTCCCACTTCTGGACCCCTAGGGTGGCAACATAACCCCCACCACTCAGAGGGACACAGCCCATGGTGTGGTTCTCTGTGGTGGCCTCACCCACATGTGGACGTCTCACCCACAGGGTTGCATTGGGCAGCCCTGCCTCATGGATCTCCTAGGCATTGATTTCACACTTTGAAATCATTGTGGAAGCAGCCATCCATCTGGGCCTGATGATGTTGAGTCGCTTTAGGGGTTCTTCTTCCCTTAACTCTAAGAACAGCACACGTTCACAGCTGAAGAGCTCTACAAACAGATCCTATAATTTTTAAGAAGCTTGGCAGTCCTCCTTCATTTTTACCGATTTCTCTGTTTCCTTTAGTGTTTCTGCTGTTATAATTGCATCTCTGTTCCTGGTTATTGTTGACATAGTGGATGAAGTCTTCAATTCACACCCATACTAATCTTGTTATCAGATAATCTGCTGGTCAACCCTTAGTTGACATACTTTCTCAATTTTTATAAAGTGGACAGGCTCAGATATTTCCAAGTCTTAGAATTCTGGTTCTTTTTTTCTTAAAAATTCTATTTTCAATTTCTCTTGCCTCACATTTTATTACAAACAGTCAGAAGAAACCAAGCTACTCTTTC